TCTGTATTCAACAGCATATAAAAAAGATTATTCATCACAATCAGGTAGGCTTTATTCCAGAGATGCAAGGTGGTTAAACATATTCAAATCATAAATGTATACACCATATTAACAGAAAGAAAGATAAAAACCACATGATCATTTCAATTTATACAGAAAAAAACATTTGACAAAATACAACATTCCTTTATAATTAAGACTCTCAGTAAAATTGGCATAGAAGGATCATTTCTCAGCATAATAAAAACCTTTTATGAAAAACCTATAGCTAACATTACACCCAAAGGGGAAAAGCTAAAATCGTTTCCACTAAAAACTGGTACAAGACAAGTCTGCCCACTCTCATCACTCCTATTCAACATAGTACTGAAAGTCCTAGCCAATGCAATCAGACAAGAGAATAAAATAAAAGGTTGTCCAATACAGAAAGAAGAGTTGAAATTTTCTCTTGTTTGCAGATAATATGATTGTATACATAGGAGACCCAATAGCATCCATGAAAAACTTCTCAAAGTAATAAATGCATACAGTAAAGTGGCAGGATACAAAATGAACTTACAAAAATCTATAGCATTTCTATATACAAATAACAAGCAGACAAAGACAGAACTGAAGAAAGTAATCCCATTTACCATAGCCACAAAAAGTATAAAATACCTAGGAATAAAACTAACCAAGGAAGTCAAGGACCTCTATGAGGAAAACTAAAAATCTTCAAAAAGAAATCAAGAAGGACACAAAAAAGTGGAAGGACATCCATGTTCTTGGATTAGGAAAATTAATATAATCAAAATGGCAATTCTTCCCAAATTAATCTACATAATTAATGCAATCCCTATAAAATTACAAGGAACATTCTTCACAGATCTAAAAGAGACAATTATAGAATTTGTCTGGAATCATAAAAGACCCCATATTGCTAAAGCCATCCAGCACAAGGAGAGTGAAATGAGTGGCATCTCACTTCCTGACCCAAAAATATACTACAAGGCTGTGAAATCAAAACAGCATGGTATTGGCACAAAAACAGACATGAGGACCAATGGAACAGAGTAGAGATCCTAGAAATAAACGCCAAAACATACAGCCAATTCATCTTTGACAAAGGGTACTAGTCAATCTAGTGGGAAAAGGAAAAGTTCTTTAGCAAATGGTGCTGGAAAAACTGGGTATCTACCTGCACAAAGATGAATCTGAACCCCTGTCACTATTAACATAAATCAACTCAAAATGCATCAAAGATCTAAACCTATGACTGCAAACTATAAAACTACTGGTGAAAACCACTGGGGAACCTTTGGGAGACATTGGGGTAGGCAAAGACTTCTTAAGCCAGACCCCCAAAGCACAGGCAATAATCCCCAAAAGAGACAGGTAGAATTATTAAGAAGTTTCTCTACAACAAAGGTCACAGTAATTAGTGTGAATCGACAATCCTTGGAATGAGAGAAAAATTTTGTTAACTATGCCTCAGATAAGGAACTGATAACCAGAAATCACAGGGAACTCAAGCAGCTTACCCAGAAGAAAATTATTAGCCCAATTAAAAGATGGGAAAATGAGCTGAATAAACAACTCTAATGAAGACATATGAACAGCCAAAAACCATATGAAAAAATGTTCAACATCCCTCATCATAAAAAAATGTTCAATATCCTTCATCAAAACCAAAAGGAGATACCATCTAACCCCAGTCAGAATGGTGAAGATTAAAAAAAAAACACAAAATGGGAAGTGCTGGTGGAGATGTGGTGAAAGGGGAACTCTCATACATTGTTGGTGGGAATGTAAATTGGTTCACCCACTATGGAAAACGATATGGAGGTTCCTCAAAAACCTTCAAATAGAACTACCATATGATCCAGCAATTCCACTCCTGAGCATTTACCCAAAGGACAGGAGAATGCTAGGTCAGAAAAATGCTTGCACAACTATATTTACTGTGGCATTATTCACAATCATTAAAATATGGAACCAAGCCAAATGTCCACAAACAGATGAATGGACTGAAAAAATGTGGCACATATTCTCCATGGAATACTATTCAGCCATAAAAAAAACAAGACCCTGGCATTTGATAGAAAGTGGACGAACATGGAAGATTTATCCCTGAGTGGAGCAAGTCAGGCTATGAAAAAGAGACATTGTATGTCTCCACTTAACATATACCGACTGATATACCAAGTGTCTAAACTCTACGGTAGAGACTGAAAGACTGGTGGGCAAAATGCATTAAAAATTGTTATGAACACTGGGGACAAAGTGGAAGAGGAGTGGGAGAGGGGAAGAGTGCAGGAAGAAAAATTTGTGGAAAAATGGAGAAGTAAGACATTTATGGGACACGGATATGGTTGTTGGCTGTTGATGATGGCATGTAGAGGATTCTCGATTAGAGTATTCTCGATTCACCTGCGTGAGTAAAATCATGTTGGGTAAAATCTCTTTGCAATCTAAATTATGTATAATGATTGAATGTATAAATAATAATATAAATAAATAATTTTTTAAAAGAATGAAACCAAGAGTTATAGTCAGATTCTGCCTTACTAGTCTAGGCATAGACTCTTTAGGCAAAAAGACTAACCAGGACAACTCTTGACTTCTAGAAAATAGACCAATATTTCTTTAAGAATGATTTGTGAAAACATCAGTGCACTCTGCCTTATGAGCTACTCATTCTAAAAAATCAGAGACTGTTTCTCCTGTATCACATTGAGGTAGGAGACAGAGACTCTAAGAATATAATTAGGGTGTAGGCCCAAAATGAAATCACAAAATGTCTAAGTTTTAAGATGGGGACAGAACAGCTCAGCCGCAGCTCAGCTCTCACTGAACTGCTTGCTTACAAGAAACAGCTTGCAGCAGTGACTCAATGAAAACCTAGGCAGCATGACATAAAGCAAATATAAGAATTAAATTTTTTTCCAGGCCTTATTCTGAGAAGATAATGGTCTTTATGGTGGTTTTAGATAGTCTCATGACTTTTGTACCCACTCAAAACTAGCAAAAATAACTGGACCCATCTGCCATGTGACTCCTACTACAGGAGGAACACACGCACAAGCCTCACCTAAGAACAAATCTGGACAAAGCCCCCCCCTAACCAAGCTATTCCCCTCTCCTAGCCTCAGTTCCACTCCAGCAATCCATTCAAATATGTTCCCTGCTTGGGAGCTCTGTTCTTCCTTCTCTGCTTTAATAATCTCTATTCTCTCTGTGTGTTCATGTCTCTAATTCTTCATGCCCATGAGAAAAAGAATTGGATTTGCTGCTGTTCTTTCATTGGGTTTTGGGCCCACCCCAACTTTCCACATCTATTGTACATTATTGAATCATTTTTCAGTCAATATACTTACTCTTCTGGAAAAGGGGACAGGCACCCCACTCACTTATCAGAAATATTTTTAGTCAGCATCCAAGACACTATTCATAATTACAAAAAATCTTTTAAGATACTTCCACTTTCAGAACAAAAATCTATAAATTCCTTGAAAAATAACTATATGCTGGCTAATCCATTTTAGGAGGATTAGTCAGAAAGACCCAATTGGGAATCAGAGTTTTGTGACTTAGCTGAGGCTATGAGCAAATTACTTAAATCACCATTAAGGCTAAATTTCCTGGTTTTTATAGTAGTCAAAATAAAACTAATTTCACAGTGTGATTCTAAGGATTACGTGAGAAACAGGAAAAGTTTCCCCATAAAAATGCTTGGCCCATGACAGAAACAAAAGAAGTATCATTTTCCTACCTCATTTCCTTTTAAAAGAAAAATATCTAAGTCAACATGACTTTGAATGTTTTATATGGTTCAGAAATTTAAGAAACATGCTAACCTTTTATCTATGCAACAATAGTTTTCATAGCTAGTTTGAAGTAACTACTATTCGTGTATGCAATTATACATGGCATTTGAATGAATTATAAACTCTGTGCAATCATCTAGATGAACAATTCAAATTGGTACCGTAATCTGGATCCCTTTTTCCAGAAATATGTTGCAACTTTATTTATTTATTTATTTTTCCAAAGGGCTAATGCACATGCAGGGAAAGATACAGAGAGAAGAAAAGTGAGAAATTACCCCCTAGGGGGTGTGACCACACCACAATCCCTTCTCCTCCATGCTCTTCTCAGAATTTGGGGCACACAACTGTATGTACCCAGCGTGATTTTCTACCTGACAGGTCCAGGACTCAAACCATGATTGACCATGTGGGAATTCAGCATCTTAACCACCAGACCACCTGCTGACCCCATAACTTTATTTCTTTTTTAATGAACCCTTCTTTGGTAGAAGAGAAAAAGGGAAGAATTATCTCTCTTCATTAGCAACGTGTTGATGGCCTCTTTGCCACAGAGTCTACTTCTTTCATGTTAGATAACATGCATCTCTCAAAATATTTCTACTTATCTGTCTTTCATAGCCTGCTTAAGGCCTCTAATGTTGCAAATACACCAATCTATACAGAGTTAGCAGCAAATACACACAGTCTTGCAAAAAGAAGAGGGGAGAAAAGCACATTTGACGCATCTAACAGAGTAGGCAGAAACAGTCTTACAGCCAAGAGCAACAGCAGGCTTGTCCATCTGTCCATCATCAAACTGAGTTGTGCCCACTAGTTATCAACAGGAGGTAGCCATGTGGGCATCCCAATAAAACAGAATTTCTGCTACTGGGAAGATAAGGTGAGGAGGGAAGTTAATGACTATTTCAAAATCAATTCCTGAGTTAGCATGATGTAGACAAAGAATTGCTGCTTTTTTTTACACATAAACTATAAAACCTTGTCATATTTTATTCATTCATTAAACACTTTTTAGATGCTTTTTAGAATTCAGGCACTATTTGGGCCACTATGAACACAGGGAATAATTTCATTCTTCAGGAATTCTGTTTCATGAGAGAGTCAAAAGCAAACAAGCAATTATAGTAGAGGAAGATGACAGCTAATATACATACAATACGCTACAGGAACCCAAAGAAAGAAATAGCACACATAATATTGCCATGGCAATTTTACAAATTTCTGAGTCATCTTTGCACAGGGGCTATGCTAATCTTCTCTAGTATTCCAGTATTGCAGGATTGAAACCAACTACAGAAGCAGAATAAAATAATCCAAGAATGAATGGATGGGTTGTGGTCAGTTATGTTTCTTTTAGGGTAGAAGAAAAAGTGCTGTTGTTTTAACCATAATTTATTTAGTCTTTTTTATGTGCATGTTTCACTTTTATATGACTGATAACTTTATTAATTCCATCTAAACATGTCGCTTTCTACATTCTCTAATATTATTATGTTTGAGGGTGTTATCACTGGACAACAGAGATAGGACAGAGATACAATCTAGATGCAGATATAGATGCAGATGTAGTAGCACAGATATACAAATTGATACAGATAGCTTCTTAATTCTAGAAATACTACTTGTGCTATAATTCTTAAATTTTAGAATGAAATATTGTCTTTCAAGCAATTTCCAACAGAAAAGTAAATGTAAGACATAGCATTTATTGACATTTACCAAAATTAAGGTTTAATGCAAATAAATCCTTACTATGCTGTAAGATAGCCTATAAAGACTTCCTTTCAATAGAAGAAATGATAAAGAGTGAATTGAGGCACTACCATTAAAGCTAATGTAAAAAGACAGGGTAAACTGCCAGCTTGAAAATCTTATTTAATGTCTATTGGTTTTGTTGCTAACACACAAACTTGGAAACATAAAATCTACATCAGTTTCAGATGACATTTATTCCTCTCTCAATCAATTTTTGTGCTAAAAGGTTTGCCCAAGTTTCCTCTTGGTTACCACTGGCTTTAGCATTACTGAAACCAGACATTGGTCCTGAAGTTATAGACACATAAAAATATTGGTATTCATGTCCATGACCCCTATCCCAGTCACAGGAGCCAATGGCACATTCTCATATAGAGTATGAGGCATTAGTTTGCCCCAGGTACTAGGGGCACCAGGATAGCAGGTACAAGGCTCACCCAGAGTCTGGGTCAGCCTTGAAAAACCCACTCCAACAAATAACAGTCATTATTTCCCTTGATTCTATCCTGGTGGCCACTAAATATCAAATGCTCTATCCTCTGACAAAATTTAAGAAAATAGGATCACATTGTTATTACTATCCAGCAATCTGACAACACATGAAAGTCCTAAATTTTGTCTCTAATTTCTAATTAACCATATAATAAACTTCTTTCACATGCCAAAATTTCACTTGTACCTAGTCTATATGTAATGAAAACTATAATCTCCACAGTATAGCCTAATGTTTTTATTTTGTCCATCCATTCTGTGTTCACTATGGGTTTTTCTTATTAAAATCCCTTGAACACTTCTCAGTTAATTTTATTTTTACCAAATGTTTTCTACTGACAGCTGGTAGTTATGCTATGGTCTATGCTCTTTTTGTGTTGTTTTTTTTTTAAAGAGGTTTTTGCTATAGGGCATGTGTGCTCACCAGACAGACAGAGAGACAGAGAGACAGAAAGCAAGAAATCACCCCCCAGGGAGGAATGGCCAAGCCGCAATCCCTTCTCCTCCATTCTCCTCTCAGGATCTTGAGTACACATGCACATGTGCCCGGCGTGAGTTTTAAGTCAGCAGGTCTGGGACGCGAACCGCAGTCGACTACGTGGGGGTCCAGCGACATAGCCATTACAACTAACTGCTGGTCCCGTGTCTATACTCTTCTGTAAGTACACAAGTGATGTCCTATGAATGGATACATTTTTGCCAAGATATTTGCTATTTTCTATGACTTTTTAAATAGATTTCTAATGAACATAGTCGTTTCATTCATTACATGTGTAAAAGCTAAAGGAAAAAAAAAAACTGGATTAAAGCATAAAACGTTAATGTCCTTATAGAGTGAGTTGAGTAATGATGCTAGCCCAAGGAATCTGACTCATAAATGCTGTGGAGAAAGTCATTCATTAACTTAAGGTCAAAGACATGCAAGCTATTTGACATCAAATAGTAGTCTCAGAAGCATTAATAAATGAAAATTTTCAAAAAGTGGATGCTGCTGTGAAAAAAAAAAGTTTTGTTCTAATAGTGAGAGCTGTGATTTTCTTTTAGTCATTAATCAAAAAGAGAGATAATATTCAATGAGCAACATAGAAAAGGGCTGGGTAACACTCAACTTTTGAGTGTATCATGGTTCCAAAAGTCCAAAGGTATGCTAGTTGTATAGTGTTGAGAAAGCATTTTCCCTTAAAGCATAGTTAGATATAGTAGCAGTGCTTTGCTTTTAACTCACATATGCCAATCTAAATCAGAATGCAGTTGAAGTTTAAGATGGCCCTAGTAATACTATTTGATATTTACTTAGCCATTTTGTTATACATTTCTGAATTTCTCTGTGAACAATAAGGAAAACCACCATATATATTATGCATAAGTATACTACTACTTGGGCACTGTGCCAATTTAGTTCTTAACTCAATCTGTGAGATAATTATTGATTTTTCTTTTACAGATGAGCAAACAGGCTTAAAATACAAAAGTGATATGCCCTAGGCATGGCTATGTTAATAACACTATATAAGGGAGGGAGTATTCAAAAAGTTTATTCAAATATATATTATGAAAAAATATGCATGAACTTCAAAGCGTTTTGCACTAAATAAACTTGTACTTTCATTCTATCTTTCCATGAACTTTTTGAAGTCTCATCAGTTTAAGAGAAAATGCCCTTTAAACTGGGGATTCCCCATTTCTCATACTTCAGAAACAAAGAGCAATCCATACTCTGAAGGCAGAGGCTCTAGACACAGGGCCACAGGACCAGACAGATGCCCTGTCAGGGTCTGCCTATAAAGTATAATATATTGATGGCCCTCAGGAGCATATGCAGATTTACACATATTCTTGGGCCCACTTTAAGAGTCTTGTTAGACCTTTAGATCCTGTTTTAATAACTCTTTTAATCTTTTTAATATTCTCAGTCACAGATCAAAGCCACTGCTTAGCTTTAAGGTACACACTCTGTATTTTCCACTTTAATTTGTAATTATGCCACACTGTACTTTTTTTTTAATAGCAAGGGATAAATTTTCCTTCATGAAGGAATACAATTTTTTATAAGGAAAATGGTATTCATTTCCCCAAACAGTAAGAAACACATTTTCAAAAGTCAAAAGCTATATATGGAGAGAATAAAAAGATGGATAAGACTTAGTCTGTGCCTACAAGGGGCTATAACATCTAATGATGGAGACATAGTTTGAATCAGGCAAAGGCTAAGTTGAGTCCATGTTTCCTGTTCAAGAAACAACTTCTGATATCATTTTGTTTATCTAAGGAGCAAGCACTCTTTGTTCCAAGTGAGAAAGGGAGCTAAAAAAATAATCCTTTGAGTTAAAATGCTAAGACTAAAAGGATACTTGCTCTAGGAACTAGCTAGTGGCACAGGAGTAACACAGCCGGACCCACACAGGAAGATCCTGGGTTCATATCCCAGGGCCTCTGTGTACACACCAGGCACATACATGCATACCAATGACCCAGGCTGGCTAAGGCTAAGAGTGGATCACAACATGAAGACCCTGTTGGAAATCTCTCTCTCTCTCTCTCTCTCTCTGTCTCACTCTCACACTTGCTCTGTCATGGAAGAAATAAAATTAGTATATATACATATATACATGCATACATACACATATTCTGATTCTAACAATAACTCCTAAGGTAGAGAAATGATGCAGAAGAACGGGAGAAGTTTCAGAACTGACTTGAGTATGCCTAGCGATGTGTTTTTACAAACCGCAGTCCCTACTTGCTATATTCCCCAGAACCACTACTATAGACAGTTCCCAGCTATGGAAGGGATGATGTTATAAAGCTCAGGGGCCTTGAGATGGAAAAGACTGAGAACCACAATGTCTAACATTATCCAGTTTTCAATTCCTAATGACACCATAATGTACATTCTTGTATCTACTTGTCTATGTTCAATACTGAGCAAAGAATATTTAACACAAAAGTCCAGATCAAGAGGGACTTAATTTGAGTAGATGATTACCTTCGTCACTCATTAAGATAAGAAGCTGTCTCTTCAGAAGGCCTGAATCACCGCAAAGCTGAGTTGCTTAGAAAGGAGGCTGTGATAAAAACAAGTTTGAAGATGGTTATCTAAAGCAAATGATTTTAACTCATTAAAAGCCAACCTTTTGTGAAAACTCTCTTCCTTCCTGGAATACTTTACTCTTCTTAAAAACAAACAAACAAACAAACAAACAAACAAAAAGAATTAGTCTAATCCTCTTCTGCACATAAAATACTACAGGTTTTTACTCTCTTTGGAGACAGACTTTCTTTTCTTTATTATTAAAATAAAATTCTCTGTGCCACAGCATCTTGAATCTATCTCATTCCTTTTTTATTTTTAAGATTATTTTTTTTTACATGCGCACTTGCTAGAGAGTAAGAAAGAGACATAAAGAGAAAGACATACACAGAGAGAGGGAAAGTCAGAAATCACCCCCCAGGGGAAATGGTCATGCCACAGTCTCTTTATTTCCATTCTTTTCTTTGGGTTCTGGACATGCACACACATGTCCTGGTGTGATTTTCAAGTCATCAGGTCCAGGACTGGAACCACAGTTGACCATATGGAAGGCCAGCACCTTAACCACCATACCAGATGCTGGCCACTCAATTCCTTATTTTTTTTCCTCTATCTTCTTTCACATTTTACATTCCACCATGAAATGCCTCCCTAATAGGTTGTTTCTTTCTTGTCCTCTGCCCATTTGCATCCTTTCTTTAGCACTTATATTTGTTGTATGTTTTGTTGTCACACTGATTAACAAATTGATTGAGGTGAATGTCATTTTTGTTATGAGTTTACCATTGTTTTCCCTATCTTAATTTAGGAGGAGAGATTATGATTAAACAACACATAACTGTATAAACTTAAGTTATGAAAAACATTTTCTAAAATGAAAGGAGAAAACTATTGAGTTTTGCAATGTAGGAGTCACTGATAAAATTTTGACATATTTTTTGGAGTATCTTTCTATGTCTATTTTTTAACTTTTTATTCTAAAATAACTTTAGATTTACTGAAAAGTTGTAAAAGTACTACAAAGAGTTTCTATATGTTCTTTATTCAGCTTGTACTATTAACACGTTAACATCTTCTATTCCATGGTATAATTATCTAGACCTCCTAGATATATTTTGAAAAGATTGAATATTTTTATTCAGTACCATTATATTTAATATGCTAACCAAAACAGTATTATTATTTTAAATCTTTTTTTTTTTTGGAGAGGATTTTCGCTATAGGGCGCATGTGCTCGCCAGACAGAGAGAGAGACAGAGAGACAGAAAGCGAGAAATCATCCCCCAGGGGTATGGCCACGCCGCAATTCCTTCTCCTCCATTCTCCTCTCGGGATCTTGGGCACACACGCACACGTGCCTGGCATGAGTTTTAAGCCACCAGGTCTGGGACGCGAACCGCGGTCGACTACATGGGAGTCCAGCGACATAGCCATTACGGTAACTGCTGGTCCCTATTATTTTAAATCTTCAAAAACATTTTTTTAGGTTTTTGCCATAGGGCACATGTGCTTGTTTTGTTTTCATTTTGATAATCAAAAATTATTTTGCCAACTAAAAACAGAATATCTATTTTATAATAGTAATTTGTAATTGAATGGTGTTTTCATAAAATAGGGCTTCCATTTCTTTTTTAAGAATTATTTAAAAAGAAGAATTATTTAATTTTGTTCCTCATTATCATCATCATCATTATTAATTTCTATAGGGCACATACACTCAGAGAGAGAGAGAGAGAGAAAGCTGCCAAATCTGGGACTTGAACTACAATCGGCCATGTGGGAGTCCAGTCCCTTAACCATCACACCAACCACTGGATCCAAGGCTTCGATTTCTTAAACTGCCATTTCTCAAACTGAGATCTGCCCACCACTAACCATCTGAAGATGGGACTCTTAGAAATTAGAAGTTAAGGGAATCTTTTGGGACCAGCAGTTGGCATAATGGCTATGTCACTGGACTCCCATATAGTCGACCACAGTTCAAGTCTTGGACCCTGTGTCTTAAAACTCATGCTGGGCGCATGTGGGTGCGAGTCCAAGATCACTAGAGGAGAATGGAGGAGAAGGAATTGCAGTGTGGCCATCCCCCTGGGGGGATTTCTCACTTTCTGTCTCTGTCTTTCTCTGTGAGCAAGCCCACACATGTGCCCTATAGTAAAAACCTCTCCAAAAAAAAAATAAATAAATAAGGGAATTTTCATCCTTACAAAAGGGTCTGCACATTACTTAGATTTGACAAAAACTGTAATAGGTATGATGGTTAAGGGGAAATTTCCACTTGAAATGCATATCATATACAGTAAAAACAGTTTATCAAGGGATTAGTTTGCATAGTATGCTCTCTAGTATTAATTATTTTACATTCTTTCAATGTCTTACAAATACTCATCACTACACTAAAACCTAATTTCCTTCTGGCTGTTGAAAACTGAAAATCAAATAACTGTATCTCACTTCTACAATACCAGAGTGTTTAAAAGTCCCCAAAGATCCCAGGCTCTCTTATGTCACCTGTTTCTGCTCCTGCTCCCGTTGCCTGGAATACTCTCTCATTCTATCCCTCCATAATGGACAACTGGATAATTTCAGTGCCTCATTGTCATTCCTTTCCAGCACACCAAGCCTCAATATTGTCTTTTTATTTTTTAATTAGTATTGTCTTAATTATTGTGTTCTTGATCTGTTTTTCCTCTATGTTGCATTATCTTTCTATATTTTGATAGCTGTCACCTCTCCTCACTGTCAGAACTTAAGAACAAAAAGACTTAGTACTGTAGCTCTAGTGCCTAGCTGATCCCCAGACACACAATAGAAGCCCCATTAATGTTTATAAAATGTATTAACCATATAAGGCAACAATCTCCTGAGAGAGTTATAAGCAATTCAATCAAAATTTTCTAAATTATTCTGATAAACAATACTGCAGTTCATCTTCCTATGCTGCTATCAGTTCTGTCTCATAGAATCTACAGCTTTGGCACTGCCAAAATACTTTCTATTCTGTGATGACTGACAGGTTGAAGATAATATTTTTCCTCAGGCAGAGGACTAATAATCACTCCATCTTTTTTTTTTTTTTTCCCCCAGATAAAGTAAAAGAGTAAGCATGTGAGGGAGGGAGAGAGACATATGTATTTCCGACAAGGTCTCACCATGTCACCTGCCCAACCTCCCAATTAGCCAGGACCTCAAGCATGTACCCACTACACTATATGTTTAAGTTGAACTTAGGCCTCCAATGCAGCCTGTCATCACACAGTGCCATATTCCCATTTATACTACTGCAGCTGGGTCTCTGCTTTTTCTTTCTTTTTTTTTTTTTTCATTTTCTATACTATAATAAATTCAAATGTACAGAAAAGTTGGAAAATCCTATGGTTTGACATTTTCTCTACCCAATCTCATGATGAAATTTAACTGTCGTTGTAACAGTAGTAAGAGGTGGGAACTTTAAAAGGTGATTATACTGTGAGGGCTTTGCCTAATGACTAGATCTATGTCATTGTCATCAAGTTAGGTTCATTATCATAGGAGTAGGTTCCTTATAAAAGGGTGAGTTTGGCCCCATGTGTTCTCTCTCTTCTGCTCTCTCTTTACATTTCTGCCAGGTGATGCCTTCTCCATGTCTGATGCAGCAAGGAAGTCCTCACCAGACAGAGCTCATCAATCTTGAACTTTCCAACCTCCAGAACTATGAGCCAATAAATGTCTGCTATATTATAAATTTCTCAATCAGTGGTATTCTGTTATGGAAGCACAAAATGAGTTAAGACAGAAGAATAGAACAATAAATTATATCATACCTTCAACCCATTCACTAATTGTTTTCATTTTGTCCTATCTTATTTCTCTCTGTCTTCCTACACATGTCCCTTTATCCCTAAATATTTCTGTGTTATTTTCCTACAAGCAAGGATATTCTCATTTATAACCATAGTACATTTATCAAATCCAGGAATTTCACATTTATATAATACTCTTATCAAATACAGACTATATTAATTTTTCTCTAATTGTCTTAGTAAAGTCCTTTATAGAAAATATTTTCTCTGATCTGGGACCAGCAGTTGGCATAATGGCTATGTCGCTGGACTCCCATATAGTTGACCACGGTTCGAGTCCTGGACCTGGTGCCTTAAACTCATGCTGGGTGCGTGTGAGTGCGTGCTCAAGATCCCAAGAGGAGAAGAAGGGATTGCAGTGTGGCCATACCCCCTGGGGGGTGATTTCTCACTTCCTGTCTCTCTGTCTCTCTTTGTCTTTCTGGTAAGCGCACACACCCTAGAGCAAAAATCTCTCCAAAAAAAATTTTAAAAGAAAAAGAACATATTTTCTCTGATCCAAATCTAAGATCACACATTACATGTCATTGACATAACTTATTACTCTCCTTCATCTAAAATCATTCTTCACCATTTTTTTATATGATACTAAAATTTTTCAGAAGTACCAAGGCAGTTGTTTTGAAGAATGTCTTTTGGTCTGTCTGATGTTTCTGATCTATTATATTTATATTATGC